TATAAAAGAAACCAACAAAATGTATAAAATAAGTTATTAAAAATGAAATATTGAAATAAATAAAGTAAACAACGTAATGATGCTATTTAGGAGTTATATTACTACTTATATTTTACACATCTCAAAAGTATAATATATATATATATATATATATATATATATATATATATATATATATATTCTCGATACGAATTTCCATTCCTCCCGCTCGCATATTAAAGTTCTCCTTTTTAAGTTATTATTCCTTCTTATTATTAATGCTATTTTTAGTAGATAACAAAGAAATAGAGGGAACAGAACAAAATATATATTTGGATTTAAAGAAAGAAGTAAAAAGTCAAGAAGAAGAAAACTTTATTTGTTATTAATAATCTTATTTACTATTTATTATTATTAGTATTATTGGTGCACCTCATCTTTCTCACTCGTTCCCATAAAAAGTACAAATCTTTACTTCAAACAGTAAAAAGTTAAAATCAGTGAACCCGTCATTCTTTCCTCACCAATATCTTCCCTATCTCTTCTATTAAACTACATAGCACCTCTTAAATATTCTCAAATGCATTTTAATCAACCGTTCAACATTGAAATCAAGAATAGGTCAGGATAAATTAGTCTGGTAGTAATATCTCACCTTACACAAGTCTCGTGATCTTAGACTATTCGTGTTTCAGCTGTAGAAGATCTCAACATTTAAATTTGTATTTTGTTATTACTTAAATTAAATATACAAAAATTTAACTTTCATCACAAAAAGACATTCGACTTTAGTATATATGAGCTTATTTTGGCTAATGTTTACTTAATTATTTCTTTCCAAAAATATACCACATGTTTCCAAGTTATTTCTCCCCATATGTTAGACCTTCCTTAATTATCAAAAATATTAATGATGCACAACTGGTGCATACAATTTTGTTTTTAATCAGCCTGAACTTCTTAATAAATATGTAACCTAAACTTTAACAAGTCGAGTAATCAAACCAACACCTAATCTTGTGGGTTAACATCCACGCATATTAATTTTATCTTATAGCTAACAATAGCAATGGATTCTTTAATCAATACTATCATTAATTCTTATTTACCCTAAATTAAGATCATGATTAATTTTAAAGGAAAATAGGCCTGATATTAAAACAATTACAAATTACAAACACCCTATTGTTTTTCTCTATCTCTTTAAGTTTTCTTAACACTTTACACTTTACAACCTACTGTTTTTCTCGTACCTTTTTTCTCTGCTATAGACATTCCTTGGGGTTCAACCCTTTTTCCTTTAGGAAAAAATTATTCCTTGACTCTGGTTGTCTATACATTAATTAGGAGACACAAGAAATATACAGATATAAATAAACAATTAATTAATACATTTATTATATAGTTTGTCTGTACTTAATTTTTTTTAAAAAATGTTTCAATAGAATATATAATTTTTTGTTATATTTTTTCTAATTTACTTATTTTAAAAATAAACAGTTTTGTGATTATTTATAATAATTTCTATTCACTTCTTAAATCGTTATTATTTTAAAAATGATTTATAATTAAAAAATACGTATTTTAAAACTAAGTAAACTTGTCCATTAAGTAACAAGAAGTTTAGAAAGAAACAAGAAGATATGAATGAAATAGTTGTTATTATGTGCAAAAATTAGGACCCAATTTTTAATTGAATATTTGGGAGTAAATTTACTTAAATTATGAGTACAGGAGCTACCTGGAGATGGAGAAAATATTCAAAGTATACGTATACCCAGACGGTGAGCTCCCAATAGCTCATGATGGCCCGTGCAAGGACATATACTCAATTGAAGGAAGATTCCTCCATGAGATGGAACATGGTCCAGGGAGGTTTAGGACCAACGACCCCAATGCCGCTCACGTTTACTTCTTGCCATTCAGTGTTACTTGGATGGTGAAGTATCTCTATACTCCACTTTCATACAATGTCACTCCTTTAAAGCAGTTTGTGTCTGACTATGTGAGACTCATATCCATGAGGCATCCCTTCTGGAATACAACTCATGGTGCCGACCACTTCATGCTTTCCTGTCATGATTGGGTTAGTTCAAACTCCCTTTCTTCCTTCTTTACCTGCTTGCTTCGGTTTTCTTTCCCCTTAACACAAAATAGGTATTCCGTAGACGGATAACAAATAATTTAAACGTCAATACCTTTTCCATTTGAGTATAAAAAAAATGAAGAACCCAGTCTAATAATATTATTATGAAAGAATTGGAATACAGCTAGTAGCTTTCTATTTTTCAAAAGAATTTCTCAAAGAATATCATCCATATCGGATTACTGTTTCTCATTGACTCTTGAGAAAGAGTTGCAATTTTTCATAAAGTATCTTTTCCATATATATAAGCCATAATGGAATGATGTGATTGCATTAATTAGTATAGGCACGTGTAATATTTGTTAAATAAATAAAAAATGATTGTTGACACTCTAAACTGCTATCCAATACTCGTTTACATTATACACAATAAGAGAGTAAAGAACCTAAAGGATAACGCCACAGCGCTTATAATAACCCAGAAACACTCTATATCCAATCTTATAATCCACAGCCAACTCCTTTTCAAGACTTGTTTTTTTCTCCTTTACCTATGTTCCATGAGGTGTTGAAGCATTTGTATAACTTGGAACTATCTTCTGGGAAATTCTTCTTTACTTAGATGCTAATGTATGCTTGAAAGAAAAATATAACAGAACGAGTTACATAAAATCTCTTTGGTTTGCATAACTATTCTACTGTCCTCTGATTTTCTGCAGGCTCCTCATGCATCACAGGGAAATCCCTTCCTCTACAACACCTCAATCCGTGTCATGTGCAACGCCAACACCTCAGAGGGCTTTAACCCTCGAAAGGACGTGTCCCTTCCAGAAATCCACCTTTATGGAGGCGAAGTCTCCCCCAAACTTCTCTCGCCCCCATCCAACAACACCCCACGCCGCTACCTCGCCTTCTTCTCCGGCGGTCTGCACGGTCCAATCCGCCCCAGCCTCCTCCACCACTGGAAGAACCACGACGCTGACATTCGCGTCTACGAATACCTCCCCAAAGACCTTGACTACTACTCCTTCATGCTCAACTCCAAGTTCTGTCTTTGTCCCAGTGGCCACGAAGTGGCCAGTCCCAGAATCGTGGAAGCAATTTATGCCGAATGCGTTCCCGTGATCCTTTCCAAGTATTACGTGTTGCCCTTCAGTGATGTGCTGCAATGGGAGGCGTTTTCGGTGCAGGTGGACGTTTCAGATATTCCGAGGTTGAAAGAGATTCTTAGTGCAATTTCCGAGGATGAATATTGGAAGCTCAAGGAGGGAGTGAAGGCTGTGAGGAAGCATTTTACACTGAATCGGCCTGCCAAGAGATTCGATGTATTTCACATGATCTTGCACTCTATATGGTTAAGGAGACTAAACATACAACTCAGATAGAAAATTTTCAGTTTTCTCTTATACATATTATAAACTCATCACTCTCTGCCCTTTAATACGAATCCCATGGATTCATTATTTGAACCTAAATTGTATTTTCCAATCTAACCCCCTCCTTTCCTTTACATATATATATATATATATATAAGCCTAATTTATACAATATTAACATTTTTATTTTCCAAAATCAGATAAATTTGTACTTGTTGTTTTTCATTATTTTTTATAATATTTAAGAGCATTGCATATAATCATTATTTTTTATTAAATGATTTTTAATTATGAACACGATTTTATTTACAGCCCTAGGGGAAGGTGACAACAAGTGTGAGGTTCTGAATACAGCCTAGGTAGACACACATACACTGAGCTATCCATAAAACTAAATGAAACGGATGATCTGAACTACAATGATACATGCAGAAACTACGTAACCTGTATTAATCTAGTTGAGTGTCATATAATGAAGCCATGAGAAAGACGTTCGATCCGAGATCTTAGCATGCCTCCAAAGGAGAGAGAAGGAGAAGATTTTGAAGGTGTTTTTCTTCTGGTGGTGTCATTCTTGACATGGAGTGTGACGATTGGACCCATCTCTCTCTTCACCGAGTTGCTGAAGTACTCTACATCAACCTCGTTCCCTGATATGTCCTTCACATAGAAAGCGTTCACGGATTTCTCTCCATGCGTTTCAACGTCTGCTCGAACAACCACCAGCCCATTCTCTCGCAGTACTCGTGTTATGTCCGACAGTAACCCTACTCTATTCTCTGCACACAACTCTAACCTAACTCCCTGCATGTCCCATGTTACATCAAACAATATGTAAGTAACTTCTATATATATACCTTGCATCAATCAGTGCAAACATATCATAGTAATAATCTTCTTTTAGATTTCTTTTAACGTCACTAAGCTAGCTTTTAGCTTTTAAAATTCAAAATTAATATCTTTACTTTCAATATTTTTAAAAGGGTTTGTTTTAGTCTATATGTTACACAACCCTTATATAAAACATTAATGTTAAAATAAATATTTTGGAAGCAAAAACAATCATGCAATTTTATATATATGTATGTATGTAAAAAGGTAAGATTGAAAGGATTAGTCATACAGATCATTTTGCATTTTGTAGTTGGTAATTATACTAACAAAATATTTAATGATATTTAGGATATGGAGATTAAAGAAATGTCTTTTAAAGTACATAACCTAAAAGGATTAATTTTGAAAATGAAAAGTAAAAAATAAATTTATCCGAAATTTAAAGAATTAAACACGTACTAAAATCTTAATTTAATTACCTCACAAACCCGGCGTTCTATGGCTGCCTCTAAGCATTTTATTACTCGTTCCTTCTCACTTGCCGTATCTAAAGCATATCCATCTACGTGCCTGATAAAATACTCCTGCAACACGTTAAAACATCAAACTAACTATTAATTAGGAATTAATTTGTATAAATAATATCAATTATCTTTAGTAAAAGGTATAAACAAGCTCAGTTTTTTCTGACAGACCTATTTATATAAATGATATTTTGATACATATAAAATTTTTACATTCAATTTATAAAAAAAAAATTCTATTAAAAGTAGTATTAATTTTTTATATAAATTAAACTTATATTTCATTATTATTGGATCTTCATCATAATTTTTTTCTGAAAAATGAATCTTTCTTGAGGAAACCTATGAATGCTCATGTTTAGCTCATCTCTTAAAATGATTATAGTTAACAATTATTTCCTACTATTATAGATCGAAAATAACGATTTTTAACGTAAAATAACTAAAACCAAAATAAAAAAAAACATATTTAAATCTATTACTAATAAAATGTATGATTCATATACATACCTGAAATGCATAGCCTCCATGAGAACTGATGGAAGCATGGAAAATCACGTACTGCATGTCTGTTAACGTGCAAACAGTATCAAACATGAGCCTGGGACGATCCTTACACTCAATGTTCACAATTGAATACCCCTTTTGTTCACAACTTTCAATTGTCACCATTCTTTTCCTTCCCTTCATCTCTTTAGGAGAAGAGGGAGCCTCAAAGTCCCTAACTGAAAGCATAAGCTGGTGCAACCTCCGTTCCACACTAGTCATGTTCCCTTCTCCTCCCAATAACTCCGAGGTCTTGACATCTGGACGAGTAATCGTGCCATCACCATTACGATTAGTGGTGGCACGCAATACAGTTGTCAAGTGATCTTCTATAGAGGTTAAACGAGAAGGGTCCTCAATAGCAGAATCGGTGGATTGATCCGATATGTAAGCCACGCATGCGAGTCGTGCATTGTGACTCCATGCGTGGACTTCAACTATGTTACATCGGAGATCCACCAACGCGGCCGAGATCTCGGAAAATAATCCGGGACGGTCCGTACCTGTTATTTCAATTGTTGTGTACTGTTCAGTTGAGTTAGAAAGTAAAGGAATGAATTTATTGGAATAGGTCTTGTAGTTAGTCATTGTTGTGATGACTGAATTGATGTTGCTGTATTGTTGTGATGGTGGAGAGGCTCTTGATTTTCCTAGGGCCTGCATGCACGCTTTTCAGATTTACCCTCTACCATTTCTATGTAAAAAGAAAAGAAAAAGCACGCAAAAACAATCAGAAACTTAATTTATATAAAATTTTTAGGTGTTTTATTGATTTTTTCAATTAAAACTAGAATTTATTTTAATAATTTATGCAAACTCTTTCTTCTATTTTTTCATTAAGAAACAATATTAACAATAGAGTTTAATGATTAGAAAATACGAGTGTAAAACTTGTTAACTAGAGATATATCTTGATCTAGCTTTTAAAATAATTATTATAAATTTTTTTTATCATATAATGGGTTGTGTTTCGACGATAATTATAAGCCTATTTTCTCTTTAGATATCTAAGAAATTAATTACTTTATTTTCTTCATGTCAAATTAATTAAAACTAAATTTTGTGTTCAAGGTCTTTTTATGTTATATACAGATTCTTGTAATGAAATTTGATTATTTCATGTGACTTTTATTTTCTTAAGGAGATGCTATGTAGAGAAATATAAGGGTTTTAACAAACTTGTTCTAAATTGGGTCAATAGTTGAATGTGTTTGAACATACTATAACCATAAATTTCCTATGCATTTAGGATCCTTTAAAGCAAAGCCTCTTTCAATCTAACCATGTTTTTCAGTTTTGTTAGATGAATTGACATTTTATAATGTTTAAAAGGACCAATGATTATGTTTTAGCCGAACTCCATGTCATTCTAATAAATTTCTTCTAAATAACACATTAAAAAAATGATAGAAAAAAACAACATGATTACACATAATGCAGAGATATTTACAGAACTATATGATTCTAGAACATGTAATAATTTCTCGGGTAAAACTATAAAGGGTATAGAAAAGAAATTGACACAAATAAAACCCTGTGATCGTTGTTGTAGGAAGATTGGAGTACCTGTTGGATTTCGTTAATGGCTTTCTGATCCGTTAGTTTGTTGCCATTCTCGTCTCTAACATGAAACACTGCAATTAGATTTGGATTACAGATATTTCAGACCCAAAAAAAAAAGATTTAATTTAATTCAAAATATCAAACATTGACCGAAGAAATTTATTTATTACGCACCATCCATGAACCAACCAGCATCACATGAAATATAGCTTTTGCAGATTTGAAGGTTCATGTCTGTCAAAACTTGCACCACTTCTAGGAGGAGACCCTCCTTGTTAACACTATCTACCTGAAATCAAACAATGTTATATATGTTACTCATTTTCTTTGTCACATTCACCCTGAAAACGTTGCAGCCGAAATTACTGTCACAAACCCTTTTTCAAAACGTTGGTAACAACAACACCAAGATTTTTGAAGTTTGTGGCGTGAAAACAATATGGTATATAGATCAGAAAATGATCTTGTGATGTAAAAAACAAGATGGTAGATTTAAAAAAAAATATTTTTTTTGTTTGATTATTGTAAAGTAAGATACGTACGTACCTTCACCACTGTGCATCCCTTCATGCTGTCATTGTCGATGCAGACTCGGCATCTTCATGGAAAGAAAAATGAAAATTTTGATTATATAAGACATGAAAATGTGAAGAAAATGATTAATGAGAAAGAGATTGAAGGAAGGAAGGAAGGAAGAAAGACTTACGGTGGACCATATAATCTTTCTGGGAGAGTATCAAAGTCAGGATCAAAGTAAGGCCAACAAACGCTGTTGTTCATGCTGAAAATGAAGAGTTACTTTAATTCTTAGAAAGTGCTAATATTGAGGGAAATTTTTGAATGGGGCGACAGAAGAGGAATGAACGAACGAATGAGAAGCTTTTAACGTATAAATATTTCAACCATTCGTAACTCATGCCAAAAACAATAACACCAACTCACAACTAAGCACTTTCATGCACAGCTACTCAAAAATTACCAACATAATTAAACGTTCACCCTAAAATGTAGGACAACTTCTACACCTGTTTCTTTCTCTAGAACAAACTTTGTATTTATGGACCTTTTCTTTCTACTTTTCTTACCTCAATATAGACAACAAAATAAATACTATTTAGTCTACTCACCAAACCACCAAAACAAAAAAAAGTCTATGCATGGTGTCGTTCTACTCTTACATATTTTTACAACTCTAATTGTATTTACATTCATTTAAACACTATTTTGGTGGTGTTTTAATTTTATTTAATCCAGTTGGGGATGTATCAGGAGTATGGAAATGCAAAACTTATTTCTTTTTTCTTACCAAAAAGATAAAATACATTTAGTAATTTACTTATCCAAAAAAAGAAGTAATTTGCCCAAAATGTGGCTGATATACAACAAACCAAAATGTTAAAAATCTATACACCCTTTTAATGTGTATATAAAGTCAAACAAAAATTATCTACATGCATTCAATATTTTTTTTTAAATCTTCTTTCCATTCTCATTTTCCCTCATAACAATGTGTGTCCTGAAGGGTCAATTTGGGCGTTCAACTTTATTAGAATTACAATTATCCCTTTAGAAACTTAATTACATATTAATGGATAGTTTCATCTCAAATTGTTACATGGATAAATCAAAATATAAATTTTTTTATCAAAACAATATATATAT